ACAACTAATGGCATCAAGTATCAATAGCTCTGATACCAATGAAATAAAGACCTATGTGATCTTTTCCAGAGAAATGCATTTTTTTTTTTTTCTTTCACCCCTTTCTTTTGGCAAAAGATCACTTACATGTGGTCTTTATTATGATAAGATAAATTTCAAAATAAAATCAGCATAACAATAAAACCGAGATCTTAACAACTTGATGTCATTGAAACAACTATACACTGTGCTAGAGAATAAAAGATAAGATTGCAAGAAACAAAAGGAAGAGTGCCGAATATTATCTCAACCGGGTTTATTACACCCCACACCGAGTCACCACCATCCAATGGCATCGGATCAACAATCTAGCATCAATCTCGAACCAGAAAAACAAATTTTGGCCAAGCCACACCAATGGAACATGAACCCCTTTAATCACAAACTCAAACCCTAGGTGAATTCTCTTAGCAACCTAGTTTGAGAGAGATGGATTCTCTTTTTGTTAAACCCTAAAATATTTAGCCATAAATCCATATTTGAGAGATAAGAGAGAAGAACTTCATAACCTAAACCCTTAGGTTCTTTCACAATGTGGGAGAGAGAGATCAAACATGAGAGAGATAAATTTTCTTAAGAGAGAGATAGAAAGATAAGGTGTAGAGATTTTTTGGTAGAGACAATTCATTTTTATAGGTTTTGAATAAGATTAGGGTTTATTAGGGTTTTCTTTGGCTTGCCTCTTCTTGTGAAATTGAACATAGACCGTCAATCAAGGGTGACTTATGGGGTGAAAGATCTAAGCCATCAATTCCATAGATGGGACATCAGCATTATGGAAGGAGATTGGACTATTATCCCTCTTTCTTTAAACCATTTTCTTATCAATATATTTAAATAAAACAAATATCATGCATTCTATAAAATTACACGATCCATGTAACATATTCCATAAGGATATGTCAAATAATATCAAGTAGATAAATACTACTAAATATAAATAATAAAAGATCCATATCAATTCAAATTGACTATATCTCTTTAAAACAAACTTGCTACAAAATAGATAAAGCCATGGTCAAGATATCCCTTCCAAGATTTGACCACATACCACAAATCAACAACATTATTTTAAAAGCAAACAAAAGAATCCAAAGAGGGTGGGGCGTGCCACCCTTTTGTGGCACATTTGGGCCCCCACCCACATGCCACATGGTGGGCCTATGTGCACTATGGGCCTCCATGGAATTTTATTAAAAAAATATTATTTTTAAAATTGAATAAAATAATTTAAAATATATATTTGAATTTTTATAACTTTGTAAGAACAATAACTGTATTTTTATAAGTCCAAAAATTACAAATAAACTATTGAGAGATTCATAAAAACTCAAATAATAAAACTAAAATAATTTCAATAACAAAATGAATACAATTAAATTAATATGATGGGAAAAGTATCCCTATGGTTTTAGGAATCCAATATGTAATAACGGGGTACTCCACCTTCAACTGTGGACTACAGACTACACTAGCTTTATCGAACCGACCCAGTGTTTCCCATGACCCACAGTCCATGCAGGGGCTCATTAACGGGTCACCAAAGTCAGGTCAATGAATCAAGAGGTCGCAATCCCAATCTGTAGATTACAGGTCCTCCCCTAAAGATGAGTCAAGGTCACTTAGACCTGATGCGACCATAGCTCATATGGTACATAGGGGTATCTCTCACACATGCATACGCTTCACCCTAAAAGGTGGATATCTGGCTTTCCCGAACGATCTATCGATATGCTTGCCGTGTGATTGCACATGGATGAGGCTTTGGCCCCCGTCTCTGTAGGCCACCATCACACACAAGGGTCATATAGCCCCTCGGCTCACTCATCCGGGCATGTTCCCCGACCTCATCAAGGGCTAACCCATAAACCCTCATCGGTTTGTTCTTCATGCCCAGGGAACATTGCTTTTTCCCAACCGACTGGCCTAGATCTTTAAGCACAGATCGGTATCAGCAAACCATCGTTTGCTTAGTATGGTCCACGAGAGACCACACTCCCACTGAGTTCATATTTCACTATATCATTTCATTTTACAAACACTCATAAGGCTTTTAAAGGCCACATAAACCCAACACACCAAAGTTACTAACCTGTTAGCTTCTGTTAAAGATGCTAGTGGGGGTTTTTCTGCTACATTGTTTGTTCTTTACCTTGCAGACATAGAAGAGTTTTAAATAGATTTATTGATGAATACCAAACTCTTATAGAAATGCTTCAAAGTGTTTATATCTCACCAAACAAAAAAGATGTAATCATTTGGGATCTTAATTTACTCAGGAGCCTTTTCAATTAAGTCCGACTATGATCTCCTCTTTTGTGATCGTAGTAGACAGTTAAATGTTGGTCTCTTCAATATTAAAAAGCTTCATGGGCCTTTAAAAGTTCAATTATTCTTGTGGATTTCGTTCCAAGATAAATTAAATGTTGATAATAACTTGCAAAAAAGGGGTTTCATTATAATAAATGTCTGTATTTTTTTAGAAGTTGATAATGAAACGGGCCAATACTTTTTTCTTGATTGCCCCTTTCTGGTGAATCTTTAGGATTGGGCTCTTTAGTGTCTAAACATGTCAGTACAAATACCAAAAAATACCAATCAGCTTCTGCATCAATGGCTTACTCTTGGTATTTAAAAAATGGGTGTAATATTATGGACAGTCAATTTGGGTGATTATTCTTTGGATTATATGGAAAGAAATAAATAAAAGGGTATTCGAAAGCTTGAGCATTGGTACTTCCAATGGTCTGCATCTTGTAATTTATTTTCTTTTAGTGGAATCTGTGGTAGTGTTAAAAAATATATATATACAAATCGGAAATCGCTACTTCGTATTTGTCGGAGTTTCTTTTTTGTGACGACCGACGCAATGACAACAAAGGAAATCTAGAGACAAAGGTTATCCGGCAACCAGGGCCCTAGGCAGACAAGTTCCTCCCGTGACCAAGGCACTCCGGCTATTGTTAGCGCACTCCGACGACCATCTGGCGTCTTCCTATGCTCTTTTTGTTTCTTTCTTTGGTGTTTTTCTCAATGCTTTCTGCTCCTAGCCATCAATTTGAGCGTCATGCCTCAGATCTATTTGTTCTTGCTTCAGATCTTGAGTATTCTGGTTCAAATATAAGCTGCACAATCTCAGATCTTATTGGTGTGAGATTTTTTATTCTGTGTTCTTCTTCTTCTCTCTCCCCTTTTTCCTAATCCCTCTCTCTCAATTTCTCTCTATCTTTCTCTCCCTCAATTTCTCTCTTTACTTCTCCCCCTTTCGCTCCCTCTCTCATTGGTTCTTCCTCTTTGACTCCATCTCTCTCAACCCTTCCCTTTCTTCTTCTTCTTCCTTTCTATTTCTTTTTTTGGGTTTCTTTCCTTTTATTCCTTGCTTTCTCCATCTCTCTATACTTTCCCTTTCTAGTCTCTCTTATGCTTTTTGTTTAGTTACTAATTTCCCTGCTTTTTTGGGTTTTTTTTCCTTCTATTCCTTGTTTTCTCCATCTCTCTATACGTGCCCTTTCTAGTCTCTCTCATGCTTTTTGTTGAGTTACTAATTTCTCTGCCCTATGCCAAAAGGGTGGCTCCCCCCCTTCCCCCACCCTTTTCTTTCGTCCCTTCTCTCCCTCCTTTTCTTTCGTCCCTTCTCTCCCTTCATCTCCCTCCATCTTCGTCTAAGTTCTGCCTATCTTAGTGACCATCTTTTTCACCAACTCCTCTAAGAAGGTTAATGCTTAAAATGGAGCTATCCCTTCCTCTAGGGTTTGGGACCCATTTGTGGGTTTTTCTAGGTTCTTGAATCGTTTTCTTGGCCTGAAAATCCCCCTATCATATCAATGGAGGTTAATGCCTAAGGCCGGGTAGGCCCAATTAAGGATCACTTTGATCCCTACTGTCGAGGTTTTACTCCTTTTAGGAGTAACATCTCCTTAATCCTTGCCTTTTACAATATCCTAGAGGATTCGAATTTGTTTCATCTATCGACTTGCCTTGGATCCTTGACTTTCTTGCTCTTTGATTCCTCGTTCCACCCTCTTCTCTCTTGCCTAATTTTAAAACCCTACTTCTTGGGTCTCCGCCAATACTCTTAGATGCTACCATATTTGGGCGCCATCAATGTATTGGCCAAACTCCGGCCAGTTTGCTTATTGTGAATGGGATGAGATTAAGGAGTGGTGAGTAGAAAGGTATCAGGCTGAGGGACCGTAGAGAACTGGACCTGAGTAGCTCTTAGTAGGGATTCCTACTTGGTAATGTAAGGTCATTGAGGGTTTGGGTGGTGGGACGTTGGTAGATCTTTGTTTGGAAGTACAAGATTATGTCTGCTCCTTTTTTAATGGAAATTTATTGTTAACTTATTTAAAAAAACAATATATATATATATATATATATATATATATATATATATATATATATTACTACTACGTACTTACTACTACTATATATTAGTACTACGTACTAACTAC